ATAAGATAATTGCTAAAATATTTAAGCTTAAAGTCAAGAAAACTTTTACTTAGAAAAAATTTGTCTCTTTTCTATTGACTCCCCCTCATATATAGCTAGTTGTATTCTTGTTTATAAAAACTAGAGATTAAATAAATAATTTTCTAGTTAAATTGCAAATATGGTAGCTAGTGTCAAACTATTTAAATAAATAACCAAAAGTTGTACATGTAGCTAGTTATATTTTTATTATAATTAAAACTTAATTTCTAATAAAAAGTTATAGCCAAAAAAATTATCTTTAATTCTAAAAAAAAAAAACAAGTAATTATTTATAGTTTAGTTTAGATTATATAATCAAAATTAAAATATATAGTTGATTTTATTAATAAAGTTTTTTCTGTTTTTATAAAAAGTTACTATTAGTATAATACTATATTACTATTATCTTTTATTATTATTTTCTTATTATTATCTTCTTATTATTACTTTTTTATTATTATCTTTTTATTACTACTTCTTTATTATTATCTTCTTATTTTTATTTTTCTTATTTATATATTTTTTTTTTTTTTTTTGTTCTTTAACAGTCATATTAGTGCTTAAATACAAATATTTACATAGTAAAATTTGTCTTATAAAAAAAAACCTATTTCTAGTAAATATTTTTTGCAATTGCAAGCCTGGCATTACTTGGCTACAGGTATTGCACCCAGATACAACTTGTTACACTGATTCATATACATATTAGAAAACTTTGTTAGCCTGTTAAGAACTTATTTTTTCAATCTTTCTTTCTTTACCAAGAGTACAAGAAAGTAAAATTTTATATTACTAATACAGAATTAATATTAAAAAACAAAACAAAAACTAAAACTAAAAAAAAAAACATATAATGAAAAGGAATTAAAAAGAAAAATAAATGAAGAAACAGAGAAATATAAAAAATAAAATAAAAAAAAGTCTCTACAAGCTAACCAATCTACCTCTATCAAGAAATAGTTTGTAGTTAAATATAAAAATTATATCACTACTACAACTATAGTATATCTCAATTGTAAAGTTTCACTTTATATAAAACCTTCTTTCCAACATACAACCAAATCTAAATACTAGGGTTGTTAATGGAGTGCTCCAGACAATAATAAAATATATAACCTACTCCGGAGCACTCCAGAGGTGGGTTATATGTTTCATTATAGACTGGAGTACTCCATTAACAACCCTACTAAATACTGATTAAATAGAAGGTTTCAATCTTCTGTAAATAGCATCATATTTATTTTTATAATTATCTTAAACATGTAGTTGTGATTTATTCAGATTTAGAAGAAGTAAACAATGCTGTTTTTCTGATGGGGTAAGCTGTTTTGCCTACTTTTTTCAAAAATTTTGTTGGAAACACAAGTGGGTGATAGTAAAGAATATTGATCTAGTATTTTTCTTCAAAAAGAGTATATATTTCTTTAAGAGTAGTAATACAAGTAGATCTGAGCACACTGCTATTCTTTTTTTTGAAAAGTGATAAACTCTAAACTTGTTAGCAAGTAGTAGATAAGATCTACTTCTAAATAACAAGTGCTATTCTCATGGTGAGTAATAAGCTCTAAACCTGTTAGCAGATAGCATATGAGAACTATCTTTAAATAACAGATGCTGATTTATATTTTTATCAATCTTATATCCTTCTTCTCTAATATAGTTTTATTATTTTTGTTGAAAGGTTGGTTTTGAAAAGTTGGTCCAAAGGATCATCAGAAAGAGTTTATTGAATTTAATATTATTCTTTTTATTTTTATTTTTATTTTATTTTTTTTTGGTATTAAGGTGACCTTTTTGGTTATGAGGACTCTTTATTAGTAATCATTTTACTATTATAGTTACAATGAAGATACAACTAGCCACAAATGCACCTTTTAGATACCTATTTAAATAGTTTATCTATAGATTCTACACTAGATACTATATATATAACCCAACTAGAGAGTTATCTATTTAAATCTTCTAATCCTAACTATTTTTAGCATATTATACAAATTCAGAAACTACTATCTGGTCTATTCTACTAGATTATATACCCTGCCTTAGAACTTTCATAACTTGTCCTGAGTTTGCACTGACTAATTACTGGCTTGCATTCCTTTGTTAAACAGGTGCATGGCTATCCTTGAGATAAACCTACCAGAGCTTTCTATATTTTGTATCCAGCTGACCTAGTTATTACAGTTATCAAGGCTCCTACTCACAGTTTGGTATAATCTAATTGAACCACTATACTCTTGTAAGGTTCACTTCAACCCCAGTACTCACATTTGGTTTTTTTTTTTTTCTATTTTTGCCTTATTGGTTTCTTCCTTACTTCTAATCTATGACTTAGAAAATTCAACTCTAGCTAAGCTCTAAGTACTTTATACTCCATCTCATCATGGTATATGATTTTATAACACATGTTCTTTTTCTTTAATTGGGTTTGGCTAGTCTTCAGAAATCACCTGGCCCTTGTCATTAGGTAAAACCTAACTCCCAAATCCTAGTCATGATGGATAACCACCCCAGTTTCTCATACTAGCTAACTAGGTTGGTTTGCTAGCTTTCTCTCTAATTGGTGATCAGGTTAGTAAATCCTCCAACTTAAGAATCTTGTTGTTGTTTGGTTTTCCAATCTTGGCTTTCATTTCCAAATTCAGCCTTTCTGTAGTACTGTCAAAAGTATCTACTTCCTCCTTACTCAGGTCTTTCCAAACAGGTTTTAATCATCCTGATTTCTTGGTATTTCTGTATCAAAGCTTCTATAACAAGATAGTACAACCAAGATTACAAATTGTAAATCCAACTAATAGATAAATAATTGTTACCTAATGCAAATATATTTTTTAAAAAATGTTATTCATAAGATTTGAACTCTAGACTTGCTACTTAGTAAAATAATGACTAAACTACTTCGCTAAGCCACCACACCCTTATTTCTATTTTTTTATTTTTATCTTTTTATTATTATCTTTTTATTTTTACTTTTTTATTTTTATTTCTTTATTATTATTACAAGTAACTATAGCCTTCTTGTAAATATAGTACTTGCAACATAGCACATAGTAACAAGAATCTTGTAAATAACAGAGTAAGATATAAAGTAGTATAGAAGTAGGATATTACTATATTTCACTAAGGCAGTTCAGTATAGTTTATTTATAATTTATTCAAAGAGTAAAAGGTATATATTTATTAACAATACAATATTTTTTTTTTTTTTTTTTTAAAAAAATTTAGCAATCTTGCCTTAACTTTATTAGAATAATTAATATAGTATTATACTAAGAAATATTAATATTTTTTGGTTTATCAATCTTAGCTACAAGCTTATAATTCAATTCTCTCAACAAGTCATTTTTAGATTGTATGTTTGCATTTTTAATATAAAATACGGATATATTCAATTCTTTTATCATGGAGATGTATATTTTCATTGAAACATAATCAAAGATACCAATACATACTACATAAACACAAAAAATAAATCCAAAACACATGACTGCGTAAAAAAATTCTCAATCATATATATATCAATAACAATACAATAAATAAATTCACGAAATACATATGCAAAAGTAAACACGATTATGTATGCGAAATCAGCCACCAGGGCCAGCTTTATTGATATAATAAGTAAAAAATAAACTGCATAAATTCTATCTCAATCATTGCTAAAAACACTGTAAATTTTATTATTTATCAACTTGCTAATATCAATGCCGTTAAAAATAACTCTCAATCATAAGGGCCCAGAAAATATACTTTATCAAATAATAATATATACATTAAGATCACTCGACTAATTTCTACCCTCAAAATAAATTCTATAATAAATCGAAAATTAAAATTTTTGGCCGAAATTCATAATCAATGGAACAGGTAATAAATATTTTAATTCTCATAAATAAAACCAAGAGAGATAGGCATTCAATATTCCCAAAACGTATGAATATGATTAACCTGAGGATTCTTTTATTATTAGATCATTAAAAAAATTATATTAGATACACACACAGCTTGTTATACTGATTTTTTCTACTTTATCATCAAATACTATGCTAACTAATCATTCAGACCCCATACCCAAATATTTAGTTTTCAACGATTTTAACCAATAAATGTCATGCTTCCGATCCAGTTTCTTCCTATCTTCAGCCTCTGGTGGCCAATTAATATTTTTATGGCTCATAAAAGAAGGATAGCACTTGATTTCTTCTTTACCGGCCCAGTCGAAATCTATTAACATTCCTTGATACTGACCTTGAGATTTGTTAACCAAAATATTAGAATCACGAAGATTAGCAAACACAATATTTTCATCATGCAATTTGTTGATAGCTTCTTCAATATTCTCTAAAATCGTTTTATATTTATCATGACTAAGTAAGTCGCAATTATAAAGTAGCACTGCCTCGATATAATCTATTACTACCATATAAAAACCATTCACCATCTCTTTGTTAATATATAGTAGTTTGGGCACCTTTCCAATTTCACCACACAGTTCATGTACTCTCTGATTATATTGCTATGCGAATTTAACAATAATTTTTCATCTGTCTTTTGTTACAGCTTTTCAAAGAAGCTTGTGATCTAAAAGTTTTCCTTCATATGTAAACTCTACAGTTGTATCTTGATACACGTATTGATTTAGGTAGGGAAAAAATCGCTGTAAATTTTGTCAATTTATAGGCATATCTAATAATAAATAATATTCCTTTAATCTATTTACTTCCAAATATAGAGCTTTGAAAAGTCATGCTACTTGCTCTGCATGGGCTCGATTGTTTGTAGAAATAAGAGGTATAAAGTCCGTCAAGGGATCTACAATCGGTTTCTCAACATACACTGCCCCTAAAATACACACCCATGGCCCAGCTAAATATAAGATAAAAGAAGACCAGTTACACCATTTGAGTACTTCCCCATATGTCTGTTGGGTATAATATTTTGCAAAAGAAGCTCTAGCTTGGACAGTCGGATCACTGCTACCAGTGCCAATTTCATTTTTCATCTCAACAAGAAAGCGTAAAACACTTTTTGAAAAGACGTGACACTCCAATACTCTATCATTTGAAGAATTATCTTCTCCATCATTTGAAGAATTATTTTCTAGATAAATTATTCTTAAATCCTCACCAAATAATTTACGAATTTTTTCTCTAAACACTATAGAATGATCAGCTTCACTGAGGTATATTTTTGCTATTTCAATAATGAACTTAAGGGTTCATTGATAATACTCTTTCCCCATTTCTAGATCTTCATTACGGTAATCATGCAGGAACTAACTGAAAATGTTGTGGTAAATTTGTACTGGCAGACCAACGCATTTTGAGGGACGGTAAATAAGTAACTGCTTGTCTTTAACATAATAGTCAATAAGATTATTAAGAAGTGCAAAAGATGATGGGGGAGGATAGCTCTTAATCTTCTTTACGTTTTTTTGCTGTTCTGTAAAGGTTGGGAAAGGTTAGTTAATACAATAAAGGTTTTGCAGGAGCAGGCACGCTCTATACAGCTAACCTTCTTCATAATTATCCAGGTTGGAAAAATGTTGCTTAGTAGCTAATGAAGATCTACATTGCAAATGTTATTAGTTATATCGAAAGTGCTCAACTATAATAATTTGTATACTATGAACAGATTCTCTTATGAGGTTGCAAGCTTCTCTCTCTGAAGCTCTGTTAGCTTTTCTTCTAATTCTTTTATCTTCTGATCTTTTGTATCCGTATCTGTGCAATAAGTGAGGCACAAGTTAATAAATAAAATTATTGCGGAGAAAGCAGTATAGATTTGAAATATTCGAATGCAGTCATAGTACTACTTACCCTGTCCTTCGCCCTTGATTTTATTAATTAATCTCATGATTTTTTTTGCCCGTCCACCTAGCACTTTCCATCTTTCAAGATCTTCTTGGCTCAAGTCGAAAAATTCTGTACCATCGATATCTTGACTACTAAAAACATCGAAGTTACTTTCTTCAAGCTTTAAGTTTTGTCCCCTCAAAAATTCAATTATCTCTTTTGGCCTTGTCCAGCTTTCTACTTCGTTAATTGTAGAAAGAGAAGCTTTTTCTTCGGCAGTAGACATAGTTATTTACATATTTAGTTTTTTGGATAGGACGAAAAAATTTTTTTAGTAAGAAATAGTCATACATTCTACCTTTTTATAGTTTATACAAACAATCAGATTGTCATACAACAGGTCACATATTGTTACACATTAAAATGGCAATACCGATATTGTATTTTTCCATAGTGCCAAAATTTATTTTTATTATCGTTATTAATTATTTGAGGATATAATAGATGAGTTAGGAACTTGAAACTATTATAAAATAGTGAAGCTTTTACTTAGCACTTCTTTCCTTAAAAAATTATCACATTCACATATTTTGCAATATAGGTGTGAATGATGATTGCATTTGTCACAAACCTTACACCCGTGCTTCTACCCTCTAAAGATATGCCACTTTTCGATATAATTTTGTTTTTCTTTATTTGTATGTACATTATTTAAAATTTTCATTTATATTTCTGATATTAACAGAAAAAATAATATATACGTGGCTAGTGGCTATGAATCTATAATTCAAAATTTTTATACAAACCTGTATATTGTATCCTAACAAATAACTTATATATTACGATAAGGCTAAGATCCCTGCATACATGGAGGCTCATATAAATACTGACACCTGAGACAAAATATTAATGATAACAGAAAAAAATACTATTATACAATATTTGAGATAAAATTTGTCTTTTTAGTTAGTTAAATAAATTGATTAGTTACATGATATAAAAAATATAAGTTAAGGCGCAGTGGTCACGTGATGATTACATGTGGAACCCGCAGTCTTACACGTGACTAAAGTGGTTTTCTATAGTTTGGATTTGTGTAGCAGTAAGCTTCGAAATCATATTTGCGCCATAGGTTCTAATTCATTTGATTTTATTATTTCAATCTTTTGAAATAACTTGTAAATCTTTATAATCCTTTGTGTTTTTTTACACAAATTATCTTTCGCATTTTCTGGAATAAGATATTGTGTCATTTCATTATAAACCCAGTTCCTAGCAGTTTGATCACTAACCCCCTCTCATTTTTCACAATATCATCGATTCTCTCCTTATATCCTTTCCCATAATGGTACCAACATAAAATTTTCTCTTGATTTGCCTTCATTACATGCATTTTTGTGCTACATGCTTTTTGGTATAAACAAACTAAATTTTTTGATATAGAATTCTCAGAACCCTCTACAAAATCATTATTAATTTTGGCAGACTTCCTCTTAATAGGCGTAGATAATTACTCTGCAATGTATCCTGCTCATAGAAAATTTTTAGAGATGATTGTCTTAATTGGATTTATGTGTGACTTTTAATGTTTTCATCCGAAGAGGTTTGACCTTCTGACCGAACTTGTGAAGTGACAATAGTATTTCTTTCATCTGTAATAGAGCTTCTCACCTGGTCTTGTATGGAAGGTTTATCTACTTGTTTCTCTTGACCCACAATAGGTCTATCATCTTCAACTAACCCCAATTTCCTTATATACTCCAAAACATTATAATTATTCTCTATAGTATCTGTACTTATCTATAATGCTTTGTTTACAGAGTTATAGTCTTTGCATACTAGATGGAATTTACTAGAAACATATGCAAATTCTTCTCTAATTGTTTTAATAAATTCAGAGTAAACTGAGCATTTGGGGCTTCATGATTCTGTACATATAATATGTTTTTCAAGGCAGGTTTGGTGGAATATATGATTACAAGATAATATTGTGAATGCTTGGGGTGGGTGTGTTGAAATTTCTCTTTTGCAGATATGACATGGATTTAGCTTTGGAATATTCTTAGCATCAGGGATTTTAGATATATTTTTATTTTTTAGATAATTTAATAAAAGTACTTTGAGTTGGGAAGCATTAACATTGTTTGTATAATCATCTGTTGAACTTGGCAAAGTTTTGCTAGCCATATTGGTAAATTTGAATAGGAGTCAATTGTTAAAACTTTGAAAGCTAAGTATTTTTCATTTTATATGTAGACACTTTTATGACTAAAAAAAAAATAATTTAAAAATTTTATAAAAACCAATTTCGAATTTGACAATCTGTTCATTTAAGAATTATTTAGTATAAACCAAGAACTGATTGATCTACTGATAATTGTAAATGAGTTACATATTACCAATTTACAAACTAATTTCGAATTTGGTAATCTATTCATTCATGAATTATTTAGAATCACTCAATCTACTAGCAATTGTGAACGATTTACAAATTAGTAATATGTTAACCGAATGAAATAAAGCAATAATAATTCAATTTGAACAAAAAAACTGTGATCACTCAATCTTCACTAGCTATTATGAATGATTCACAAATTAGAGATACAAACTTCTATTCTTATCTTATTCTAACATCAGGACATTAGTTTGATTTGAGTAATACTAATTCAAAGATTCATAATATATATTATACTGAAACTTTCTAAAAAAAAAAAGTCGATGGATTAACTATTTATTTGATTTTTTTTTTATACACATTACTTTTCTTGAGCCACTCAATCTACTGGCAATTCTTAAGTTTATTAGCATTTTGATAATACCGATCTTGGGCATGTTTCATTAATGTGCTACCTGGATAATAAAGCCATTTCCTCACTGTGTGCTGAATTATTTTAGCTAAATTTATTTATTTTTTCCATAAATGATATGCTCACTGAATGATAATTGCTAGTCAAGTTTTTATATACAAAGTTTTAAAATATGCTACTTGGGTTTTAAATTCTCTAAATTCAGAGTTATTAGCTATATATTTTCTTCTGGTTAAATTATTTTTAATACGAAATACAAAGTTTCTCCAATAGTTCTTACCTTTTATTTCATGTCCTGGTATTAATAAACATCTATGTATATATTCAGGTGGATAATATTTTGCAAATCGTAGCCAAGATTCTGGTGTTTTTAAAATACTAATATAGTTTAAGCCATATTCAAATAACATGTATCGGATATAACTATTTTTTTTCATTCCTCAAAAATATCTTGAATATAGACATGTTTAACATATAGATTTTATTAACTAAGACTTTGTATATTTCTAATATAACATTAAAAAACTTTTATAATTAGTTATAGCATTCTTTAATAATTTTTTTATCCAAAAAATATTTGTTATAAAGCATCTATTCCTTGAAATGAAGTTTAGCTTTTATAGCTTTTTCTTCTGCTTCTTTAGAAACTATTTCAGATGCTACCAGGTGTTTATATATTCCAATTCGCCAATGTCTATAGAGAAGGGTTTGAATTTCATCAAGTAAGATCTAGTGTTTGTTATCATATAGGTCTAACCCGATTTTATTTACTCTCTTCAGATATATTTGATGATCATAACTATGAAGACCATACATATTATGCCAGGTTAGTTTCTTGTTTCTAAGATATTCTAAGAACTTATCATGTCTAAGTTCCTGCTTAACTATACATTTCTTTATACCCTTTGCCTTTTGTATTCCATACTTCTTTTTAGGGTCTTTAGAATCTAGATCATTGGGGTTTTAGAATTATGACCTGCTGGAAGAACTAAATATATTTTTGGCTTTAAACATACTGATTTGCCTATTGGATTTCCCTTTGTCTCATCCTTCATTAGAAACAAGTCACCTAAATAGTTAAGATCGAAAATGTCTAGCCTTTCTGCTTAATTCTTATAAATATCCTCAGTTTTTATAATCATGATAAATGAGTCTGTATTTGTGTAAAATAGGCGGTCCTTTTCTCCATAGCGAGGCTTTATATAACTGTACTAAAAGTTAAATATCATAGCTTTGCTAATGTCAAGAATGGCCTGTTCTATATAGATTGGCTTGTTTAGAGTTATGACACTTTTTAACATATGAATGGCTATAATTTCTCCTTCAAATTGCTTGAAATCTACAAATAATGGCAAACTTGCTAATTATTTGATTTTTTTATCTTTTTTTTGTTCAGAGAA